GAATTCGTGGCAGGACCATAGATCACTGTAGCTTTGAACTCTAGGACCCAAGCGGTCCTCTTGCCTCAGCCTCCCAAGTAGCTAGGGCTACAGATGCGTGCTTCCACATCTGGCTAATTTTTTATTTTTTATTTTTTTTGTATAGACACACCTTGCTGTGTTGCCCAGGCTAGTCTCGAACTCCTGGCCTTAAACAGTCCCCCACTTCAGCCTTCCAAAGCACTGGGATTATAGGTGTGAGTTACCATGCCTGGTCAGTTACAGTTTCTATTCTTTTTGATACTCAAATTGTCCAAAATTTACCAGTTAGGAGCTCCTTTAAGTTGACTTCTTTACCTTTTTGATGTGGCCTTGTTTGTTTTTTAGTATTTCCCTGCTCCCTAGTCAAATGTTATATCTTATGCATACTTTGAATTTTGCTTCATTCCCAAAACTGCAGTCTATCTTCCCCCAAATTATAAGGCATACTCTAATCAATGTGCTTTTATACAACATAATTGATTTCTTTTTTTTTTTGAGTTGTAGTCTCGCTATCGCTCAGACTGGAGTACAGCAGCCTCGACCTGCTGGGCTCTGGCATTCCTTCCGCCTCAGCCTTCCGAGTAGCCGGAACTACAGGCACACGCTACCACGCCCGGCTAATTTTTTGATTTTATTGTAGAGATGAGGTCTTGCCTGCCTAGACGGGTCTCGAACCTGCAGGCTCAGGCAATTCACTCACCTCAGCCTCCCAAAGGCGCAGAATTATAGGCTGAGCCAGCAAGCCCGGCTATAATTGTTTTCTTTTAAAAGAAAAAAAATTAGGATCATGCCATGTATAATGATCCTTGACTTACTTTTTCATTTAATGTGTCAGAGATCTTTTTGTATTGGTATAGATAGGCCCAATATTATTATTATTATAGGAATGGCTGCATCATGTTCTACTGCTATTGATTGATACTTAAGGTTATAACTAGTTGTTATTAAATTCTCCTTATATATTAATATTTTCTGTACTTGTAAATAACTTTTGTAGGATAGCTGCATGTCAGAGTATGTACATTAAAAAATTTGTTAAAACTAGCCAGGCATGGTGGCTTGATGCCTGTAATTCTAGCACTTTGGAATGCTGAGGCGGGAGGATTATTTGAGCCCAGGAGTTGAAGACCAGCCTGGGCAATAAAGTGAGACATCATCTCTATAAAAAAAATTTTAAAAAATATAGCTGGGTGTGGTGCTGCTCCTATAGCCCTAGCTACTCTGGGGGGTGGAGTGGGTGAGGTAGAAGGATCTCCCGAATCCAGGAGGTCAAGTGTAAAGTGAGCCACAAGTGTGCCACTGCACTCTAGCCAAAAAAATTGATAGAAGCTTTCCATATTATATTTATACACAATTGTTTTTTGAGTTGGAATCTCCGTTGCCCAAGATGGAGTGCAGTGGCATGCTCACTCACTGCCACCCCAGTGTCGACCTGCTAGACTTCGATCACAACCACCCCAGCATCGACCTGCTGGACTCTGTCCATCCTTCTGCCTCAGCTTTCCAATTAGCTGGAAGTACAGGCGTGTGCTGCCACGCCCAGCTAATTTTCTATTTATTGTAAAGACGAGGTCTTGCCAGGGTGCCTGGACTAGTCTCGAACCTATGGACTGCCTGCAGTCCACTCGCCTCGGCCTCCCAAAGTGCTGGGATTATAGGCTGAGCCACTGAGCCTGACCCTATATTATATCTTAGTAAGACTTAATAAGGTTCAATTTATGTACCCAAGTATATATGAAATTGCTTCATAAATATCGTATAGTGTCATTTTTGATTTTTTGATAGTCTTTAAAATATGTAATGCTTAATTTTGCATTTTTCTGATAATGAAGTATAGTAACTTCCTGAACTTCATTGTTATTTATTTCTTCTAGTGTATTGCTTGCTTGTATTTGCTGGCTTAACCTAAAAGTTGTTTTTGTTTTTTTTTTTGAGTTGGATTCTCACTCTGTCGCCCAGACTGGAGTGCAGTGGCTGCTCCCGGCCACTGCAGCCTCGACCTGGTGGGCTCCGGTGATCCTTCCGCCTCAGCCTTCCGAGTGGCCGGAATTACAGGCTGAGCCACCGAGCCCGGCTTGTTTTGTTTTTTTTTAAATTAGAGTCTTACTTATTCATTTAGATCCAGAGCTTTTGCTTTTTTAAGAAAAAAAGCCTGGAATCTGAATATTATGTAAATCTTCCTGTCTAAAAATATTGACAATTTATAGTTCTTTACAAAACTTTGAATAGGCTGAATAATACATGTCTTTTGATGTCAATCAGCATTTGGCTTCTAGTTTAGGATCTTTAATTAGATTGACCATTTGACAGGTCAAATCCCACTTAATTAAGAATAATTAAGTGATTTCAGCTATTTCTCGGTAGTTTTTTTGCCTTTAGTCTTAGACAAATTTTATAATCAATCAAGTTACCAAGTTACATTTTGAAAAACTCTTGCTTGGGTTTTGTTTAGGATTCTTTTTTTTTTTTTTTTGAGTTGGAGTCCACCACAGCCTCGATCTGCTGGGCTCTGGCGATCCTTCCGCTTCAGCCTTCCAAGTAGCTGGAACTACAGGGGTGCGCTACCACGCCCGACTAATTTTTTTGATTTATTGTAGAGATTAGGTCTCACCAAATTACCCAGGTGTTTCTCAAACCCGCAGGCTCAGGCAATTCACTCACCTTGGCCTCCCAAAGCGCAGATTACAGGCTGAGCCACCGAGCCCAACTTGTTTAGGATTCTTTAATGTAATAGAGTAGTAATTTGGAGATAGATAGCTTTACAGTATTACAGTTTCCCATTAAAAAAAAAAGATTTTATCTGTTTTGATGTAATTTTATATTCTTCAGTCATGCTTTATTTTACTTTTTTCTATTGGTTATGCACATTTCTTGGTTAGATATTTTATTTTGTTATAATTTATGGAAAGCTGGTTTGTTTTTTTTTTTTTTTTTGAGTTGGAGTCTCACTCAATTGCCCAGGGAGTACAGTGGTACACTCATGGCCACCTCAGTGTCGACCTGCTGAGGGCTCTGACAATCCGTCTGCCTCAGCCTTCCAATTAGCCGGAACTGTAGGCGTGCACTACCACACCCAGCTAATTTTTGATTTATTGTAGAGATGAGTCTTGACAAGTTGCCTGGGCTGGTCTCGAACCTTTGGGCTCAGGCAGTCCACTCACCTCGACCTCCCAGAGTGCTGGGATTACAGGCTGAGCCACCGAGCCCGGTCTGGAAAGTTTTTTTTTTTAAATGACTTTTGTATTTGATTATTGCCGATATTCAGTAAAAATGTAATGTTTCAAATTATATAAAGCATTATATTTATATGCTTGAAAAAGTGATTTTTGATAGTTCATAGACTGACATATTTCAATATAGTGTTTTAAATTTTAGATTATAAGTGAAATTAAGACTTTTAGGGTTTTTTCTCTCAAAAATGTTAATTTGACCATTAAGACACATGAGAATTTTTGACTAAAGCCTAATTACAAGTTAGACAGAATAGTTTTCTAAGTCAATATCCTAGATAGGTTTATTTTCAGATCGTATTCCGGTGGTATGTTTTCTAGAAAGCAGCCGTTACTGTGTTTCAGACCTGATTTAGCTACCCTTTAGCTACCACATTATTCTGAAAATCTGTTTGAATAATGTTATCCTACTACTTACCTGATTGTCTTCCAAACTGCAAGCTTCTTTCTGAAAGAAATTGTAGCTTAATGTATTTGTTATTGTTGTTAAATCTTCAGTGCCTTATACAATGCTAAGCACATAGAGGTTAACAATCAATATTTGCTAAATGGAGAGACAGTAAAATTAAGGTGGGCTGTATGATTTACTACTTTCAAAATAAAACTGCAAGCCAATTTGTTTTTAAGCATGTTTTCTCTGTTAAAGATAGAGTAAGTAAAACACAAGGTATACATTTACTAAGGTTATTAAGTTTTATCAGATGATATTAAAAGTTCCACTTGTTTTACATTAATATTGTTCATCACCAATAGGAGAATGATAATTAAAATAAGATGATTTATATTGATAACATATTGATTTCTGATCATAACAGTATAGTCTTATAAATTTTTTCATTGTGGGACTCATAACTGTTATGAAAGTATGTGAAGCCAATTTTATTATCATTATGAGATTCTCTTTCATCATGTCATATGAGTAGATAACCTATTTTGTAGTAATTGAAAGACTTAAAATAATCAATTGCCAAGTTAAGATATACTTTAAAAAATCAGAGCTCTTTATTCAGTCATAAAAAGTATAAAACTATCTGAGTTTAAATTTCACCTGTAATTCCAGTAAACTGGAGTCTTAAAAAATGAGAAGACTCATTGTCCAATTTAGAAAAGGTAATTAACCTTTAGAAAGAGCACAGCTGAGTTACTTGTTGTTTGTAGTTATTTGAATGGACAAGATAAATAACATCATGTGGTTTTATTTATTTCTTACAGCAAAACATCTTTTATCTCTCCACCAGAAGCTAACTAAATGTTTTTGCAATACTGAGTTTTTCTGCAGTGTATGTTTAGTTGATTTCCAATTTTAATTTACAGTTTTATAGTAATCTATCATTTTATAAAATAAACTTTATTTTTTATGTCTTAGATTTGCAGAACAATTACAGAGCTACTGTAGAATTTCTGATTATCCTACTCTCAGTTTCTTCATTATTAAAAATGTACATTAGTATGGTATATTTGTTAACAATTAATGAAACAATATTAATACATTATCATAAGCTAAAGCACATACTTTGTATATATTTCTTTTAGTTTTTTCATTTTTAACCTCAAATTTTACAGTTGAATATGGTGTGTTATTTTAGCTGGAAAGTAAAGAAACTCAGATTACAGATTAGTCTTGGAATGTGAAATAATATCGAATATTTATAGCCACTGCATGCTACTTAAAAGTAAGACACGGGCACATTTTTATCATTTAATCAAATTTTTGTGTTTTGTTTATTTGTCTAACTTCCTTATTTTTAGCTTACGAGGAAATATTTCAGTAAAAGCAGTTAAAAAAGAAGTAGAAAAGAAACTCCGATGTCTACTTGCTGATTTACCTCTGCCCCCTGAGCTACCAGGAGCAGATGATCTCTCAAAGAGTCCAGAGGAAAAGAAAACAGCAACACAGTTACATAGTAAAAGGAGACCTAAGTATGTGCTTGCTTTCTACCTGTTATTAAATTGACCAGATGATTCTGGATTATCATAAATTCATAAAACACTAAGATTTAAAGCAAAAAGTGTACTTATTCTTTCAACGTAAATATGTGAATAAAATCTATTTGAGTTTTGAAAACAGTTTTTATAATTGCTTGCATGCCTATTCACAATGACTAATAAAACCAAATTTAATTTTCTCTCACAATTTGTAATGTATTAATTTCTTGGAGCATTGTATGTGTTAAAGATAATTTCTATTAAGATGATAATAACACAGGAATGCTGAAATTAGACAAGGTGGAAGTCAGCATTCCAGACAAAATTAGTAATGGGCAGGCTGCTGTATTTTCCTTTGCTTTTAGTTCTGTTTTCTCCATAACTAAATGTATTCTTCATTTTGCAAGAGATGGAATGGAAGAAGGTTTGAAATCTGTATCCTAAATTAGCCTCAAGTAAGTGCCTAGAGAGAACTCTCACTCGAAACCTCATCGGTTGATGCCCTTTTTTTTTTTTTAAACTTCTGCTTAACCAAGGAAAAATATAAGACTTAAAGTTAGATCTGATTTTAGAATTGCTGTTCAGGTAGCTCCTAGTGTAAGAGTATGAGGTCATTTTCTGGTATGGAGTAGAAGGTTAGAAAACTTAAAAAATTGTCTCTTCTTGAGATTATGTACTGTGCTATATATAATCTGAGTATTGTAGATGTATTGTTTTCTCTAATTTCTGTGATCTACTAGAATGTTAAGATACAGAATTATATATCTTGAAAGAATATAAAATTTTTGTCATATCTACTTATTTATCTGCTTAAATGTGAATTCCTGAGAGTTGGTTATATTAATATCTTTTGTACTCTCTTAGAAAAATCTTCCTTTCTGATGTTTTAAAGATGATTTCATCCAGACATAAGTCTAAATTTGTCAGTAAGTTTTATAGTTAGATTTTTGCTAAGGTTCATTATCGAATTTTTTTTTTGAAGCTGACATATATGTATTTAATGAATGCAAAATAAAAATTTCTGAAGGTTTTTTTAAAAAGAACTTTGACTCTTTCTACTAGCATTGGTTTCATCCACTCATTGAAAATATTTTTTCCTGGAAACCCTTTGTACAAGCTCTACTATTTCTCTTTTTCAGTTTATGTCCTTGTCTACAGAAGATGTCAGTATCTAGAAATGATACCTTGATTTTTATGATAGCTGACAATACTACAAGTCACAGTGTTACTTATTTTGGATAGATCAAAAATATGCAAGGATAGGGAAAAATCAAGAATATAAGATTGGGTGAAGGATGGATATTGAATTAGTAAACAGTTTATTCAGTTTGCTTGATTGTATATAAAAACTTCAGAACTATATTTGATAGAATATGTGGGCCTCGATATGGTGAAATCAAAGAAAAAGACATTGACTGGGGAAAACGCTGCGTGGATAAATTTGATATCATCGGAATTATTGGAGAAGGTACTTATGGACAAGTTTACAAGGCCAGAGATAAAGACACTGGTAAGAATGCCAAGTTCTGGGGATCTTTGAGCCTACGGAATGTACCTAGTTTGAGTTTCTTTTCTAATGTATACCTTCAGGATTTGTTTTTTTTATTTATTTATTTTTGAGTTGGAGTCTCAAACTGTCGCCCGGCCACCACAACCTCGACCTGCTGGGCTCTGGCGATCCTTCCGCCTCAGCCTTCCAAGTAGCTGGAATTACAGGCATGCGCTACCACGCCCGGCTGATTTTTTGATTTATTGTAGAGATGAGGTCTCGCTGCCCAGGTGGGTCTCGAACCCGCGGACTCAGGCAATCCACTCACCTCAGCCTCCCAAAGGAGGAATTATTTTAAAAGTTAAAATCAAATTTATTGTGTTTTTGCTTCATCTTGTTTTTTAATTTTATTTTGTATATGCACTTATGTAATCTATGAGTGCATGTAAGTGGGTCTGTATACATGTATTTGTGTGTATGTTTCTTTAGTATTTGTGATGTGCTGTATGATGAGGTTTAGGGGTTTTTATTTCTTTTATGGTGAATAATTCTTACACTTATTTATTGGGGGAAAAGTATCTTGACCTGAATTAGTCTTAGTAGTACTTTTTTTTGTCTTAAGCCTTACACAACACTTTTGTTTTATCCCCCAATTTTTAATTTATGTTTAGAGATTTTCCTTGGAAGCTAGATTCAGCAGCTTATTTTTCAGAACATAGTCAGGAACTTGGGAGAGAAGATTTCAAAAGGCCTCACAGGAGAGGAGAAAGTAGTTGGGTCAAAAGATAGGTATTTTATTAAGTAATGCATGGAGTTAATATTTTATCTTTTTTTTGCTTATAATTCCTTGTTGAAATAAACCAGTATGTTGAAATAGTACAGCTATTTTAGGCCATTTAGTATAGGGAGATAATCTTACGGTTAGAAACTACTGAAGGCAATTACTGCATAGATTAATAATTGGTATTTATAATGATGGATTATCAAAAAGATTGAGTTATAATTTTTAGAACTGTTTAGTTAAGCAAGGAATTACATTACATTATAGAAAGACTTCCATAAACATGAACAAAATAAGTTGTAATGATAAAAGGGTAAACTTTCTTTTAGAAAATTTTTATGAGGAATTCTTTTTTTTCTCCAAAGAAGTGGAATGAACAAACCTTTATTATAGTGAGTTTTTTCTTATTACAGGCTTTGAGTTTGTGTGTGCATGTTTTATTTACTATTTTGTCTAGATTTTGTCTGATATAAAACTGCTTATATCTTAGTTACTGGTAACTTAGTGTAGTGGTAAGAAGGCATATTTTTGAGATGGCTAACCAGATTTTGAATCCCAGTTTTATGACTAGGAAATTGGGCGGCTTTGGGTAAGTAATATATCTGATCATATTTTTTCACTGGTACAAGGTACAGTTTTTCTCCTTTGTTTAGAGAAATTGTATGCATACATTAGAATATTGGGTATATTTAGTATATTTACCCTTCCCTCCTTCATTTTAAGCATATTGAGTATATTTACTCTTTCTTCCTTCATTAAAAAAAAAATTAAATGGCAATGTAGTAAACCCATTCTTGAGCATCTTGCTTTGTTCAATAATGCTAATGGAGAGCATAAAACAACAATACATATGAATCTACTTCATTCTTTTTAACAGTTTTATAGTATTCCATGGTTTGAATAAATAGTCCATAATTTATTTAATGAGAAGCTGAATTTCTTGACTTAATTTTTTCATCTGCTTTTATCAGCTGGTAACCTAATTTTATTTAATTTTATTTAATTTCCTGATAGGAGAAATGGTAGCCTTAAAAAAAGTACGTCTGGATAATGAAAAGGAAGGCTTTCCTATTACAGCAATTCGAGAAATTAAAATTCTCCGGCAGCTTAACCACCAGAGTATTATCAATATGAAGGAAATAGTGACTGATAAAGAAGATGCTTTGGATTTTAAGAAGGACAAAGGTATGTGTGAGTATATAAATTACCAATTTTTTGTACTGATGTTGTTATTGTGCCAATTTTGTTATAGATATTATCATTTGAGTAATTATTAGGTCCTATTGCCCTAATATAATCTCGCCTCTTTACATTTAGTGGAGTTTAAGAAATAATTATACTTTTTATTGTGTAATTTTAATATAATAATACTTATTATTATTAGAGCCAGGTTCTCACTCTGTCACACAGGCTGTAGTACAGTGGCACAATCACAGTTCACCGTAGCCTCAGCAATCCTGCTGCCCTAGTCTCCCGAGAAACTGGGGGTACATATGCACGTCACCATGCCTGGCTAATGTTTTTATTTCCCAGTTTTACACATAAAGTATTTATAAACAATATTTTTTAACCTTAACATATAATTTTTAGTTTTTATTTTTTAGTGATTGTAAAAACAGCTCGTAGTAGTATTACAGTATATTTACCCTGTATTTTATGTTGCAGATGCTGTAACATAACAGAGAAACTTTATGGTATGCATATATTATTTATAAAAGGGTAGAGTCAAAATTCTTACTTGAAATTACCTTTAGTTAACTATAGTGGTATATATAGAGGGTGCTAAAGATATGTATGCACATTTTTAAAAAGTAAAAAACTGTATTAAAATTGTAATACTAATATATACCAGTAACAAAAGATGAATACAAGTCATGTTTGACTTCTGCAATTATAAGAGGTGCTCAAAGTGGTTACCATCAGTGTCCAGACACTTCTGAATACAGTGAACTAAAAGTAATACATAGATAAAATCTCTTAACATGTGTATACCTTGTTTTGCACCACCAGTATAAATAATTGTAATTTAGCAGAAAAACTGACCAAAAATTAACCTGCTTGTTTAAAGTAGTTATGGCTAGGTATGGTGGCTTAGCCTGTAATCCCAGCATTTTGGGAGGCCAAGTTGGGTGAATTGCTTGAGGCCAGGAGTTTGAGACCAGCATGGGCAACAAAGTGAGACCTCGTGTCTACAAAAAAAATTTAAAAAGTCATCCAGGTGTGGTGGTGCACACCAGTAGTCCCAGTTACTCAGGAGGCTGAGGCAGATGGATCAGCTGAACCCAGAAGGTTGAGTCTGTGGTGAGCTGTTGAATGTGTGCCACTGTCTGGATGTCAGAGTGAGACCTTCACAAAAAATAAAAAAATTTTTAAGTAGTTATTATAGGGCACATGATGGGTGAAAACAATGCTCTACTGCCAGTATGTTTTAGATCTTTAGAGTAAGATTTTTGGGACCAAAGTTTATTATAATCTGTGCTTTTCAAATAGCAAATTTTGTTTTCAAACTCAATCTCTGTCAAACAGATGAAAGTCCCTATGTTCGGATTGAACATGGTACTTAGCCTCCTATCCTCACCAAATAGACACACACACATTCACACTCTCTCTCATCCATCCATCTATCTATCTATCTATCTATCTATCTATCTATCTATCTATCTATCTATCTAATCTATCTATCTTATTCTTCTGGGGAACAGAAATTATTGAGGCTGGGCAGTGGCCAGAAGTTAGAGACCAGCTTTTGTAACATAGCGAGACACTGTTTCTACCAAAAAAAAAAAAAAAGCTGGGTATGGTGCCTGTAGTCCTAGCTACTTGAGAGGCTGAGGCAGGAGGATTACTTAAACTCAGGAGTTGTGGAGACTGCAGTGAGCCATGACTGTACCACTACACTCTGGGCGACAGAGTGAAACCCTGTCTCAAAAAAAAATGTTGATATAATATATGGTAATTATTTTGCATAAAGGAAATGTTTGAAAGTATTCTGCTACAGTGTAGATCAGAATAATCTTTTTAATTGATGTCACTTCTGTTAATTTTGTTCATAATACACTTGTATTTCTTAGCTTGATGTTTATCCTGATTTGTCTTTTTAAGCTTATTTTTTATTACTACTTACCATGTAGTAGAAAGGGTCTTGGTTTGACATGAGTCAGAATATCTGTGACTTGAGACTTAGCATATTAGCAGTGGGACTTTATTAGCAAGGTTTTTAGCCCTTCTGAGCCTGTTATTCCTTCATGCATAAAAGGGAAACATTATCTCTCTTACCATGTAGTAAGAATTAAATTAAGACCTTGTAACTTGAAGGTGGTGTGCAAATGTTATTTGTTTTGCATTAACCTCATACTCTAGTCAAATTAGTATATTTACTTTTCCTTTAGCATACCCTGGACCTCCTACTTTGGGGTCCTCAGATATGCCAATGCACTTTTCTGCCTTAAAGTTCATTACACATGTTGCTTCCCTGGACTTAAACCTCTCCACCCCAACATGCACACTATTTGACAGGCTGACTTCTTTCCCCCAGTGTCTTTGCCCGAATGTTGACTTTTTTCATTAGTGAAGTCTTACGTGACCAGTCTTCCCATTTTCCACCACATATAGATAAACAATTTGAAATAACTTTTCCCAGTAAGTGAAAACAGTTACAGTGGTTTATTACTAACTTTTTTCTTCATATAGATGGGAACCATATCTGTTTTATTCCCTGTTAGGCCTCCTCCTACCTAGCTTGGTGGCTGGACCAAAGGAGGTGCTGAGTAATGCTGAATGAATAAGAGAGCTCAGTTTTTTTTTATGCTTCAGTACTTTAAAAAAGACTATTTGTGCTGGGAGCAGTAGCTCACACCTTGCAATCCCAGCACTTTGAGAAGCAGATTGCCTGAGTCCAAGAGTTCAAGACCAGCCTGGGAAACTTGGCGAGACCTTGTCTCTCCAATAAATAAATTTAAAAAAAATTAGCTGGGCATGGTGGCACATGCCTGTAGTTCCAGCTACTTGGAAGGCTAAGGCAGAAGTATTGCCTGAGCCCAGCAGGTTGAGGATGCATTGACTATGTACATACTACTGCACTCCAGCTTGGGAGAGTGAGTGAAGCCCCAACTCAAAAAACAAAAAATACTACCTGTGAATATGGAAAGTATTCATAGTCTTCTTTATATTATATTTATGGTCATAATTTATTTTTCTTACTAGATTTAAAATTTTCTGAGCCTTTGTATTTGATTTTGTTTTGATTCTTATACAAAGCCTAGCACTGTGTTTGACAAATCATAGATTTTCAAGATATATGCACTCGTCATCATGTTGCTACTATAATCCTGTTTATAATTGTGTGAACCATGATAAATAAGAATGTAGCGAGGCATGGTGGCTCACGCCTGTAATCCCAGCACTTTAGGAGGCAGAAGTGAGAGGATTACCTGAGCCCAGAGGTTCAAGACCAGCCCGGGCAACTTGGCAAGATCTCATCTCTTCAGTAAATCAAAAAAATTAGCTGGGTGTGGTGGCGTTGGCTTTTGGTTCCAGCTATTTGGAAAACTGAGGCAGGAGGATTACCTGAGCCAGCAGGCTGAGGCTGCAGTGGCCATGAGTGTGTCACTGCACTCCAACCTGGGTGACAGAGTGAGGTTCCAACTCAAAAAAAAAAAAAAAGGAATATTATTTTATTATGTGAGATGTTACATGAAGGTACCTGAAATTAGTTAATTAATTGCATCAGAGGATGTGAGAGGGTATAAAATTTAAAATAAATTCTTTATTAAATGGGTCTAATTATAATAGGAACTATGATGAGACAGCATGATTTGGTGAAAAGGAAACTAGGTTTGGAGTCATAGGTTTTAATCCTGACAATGCTAGCTGTGTGACATATTAATTATGGTTGCCATACTGTCTGACATTATACTAATTTTGATAGCCATACTGGAATAGAAAGACAGTTTGGGAACACTGGCTTAACATTGTGGGCTAGTTAAATATGAGTATGTGAGAATGTGTAAAAGTAAAAAGGTGAAACTATATACTTAAAACAATTTACATACAAAAATTATGAATACAAAAATAAAGTTAAAAAAATATGTATTTGGGAGGCTGAAGTGAGTGGATTGCCTGAGCCCGCGGGTTCGAGACCTGCCTGGGCAGCGAGACCTCACCTCTACAATAAATCAAAAAATCAGCCGGGTGTGGTAGCGCATGCCTGTAATTCCGACTTGGAAGGCTGAGGCGGAAGGATGGCCGAAACCCAGCAGGTCGAGGCTGCGGTGGCCGGAAGCAGCCACTGCACTCCAGTCTGAGCGATAAAGTGAGACTCCAACTCAAAAAAATAAAAAAATAAATAAATAAAATGTATTTTTGAGTTGGAGTCTTACTCTGTTGCCTAGGCTGGAATGCAGTGGCATTATTACAGCTCACTGCAGCCTTGACCTCCTGGACTCAGGCAGTCCTTCCACCTTAGCCTCCTGAGGAGCTGGGACTACAGGCATTTGCCACTGCACCCAGCTAATTTTTAATTTTTTGGAAAGACAACGTCTTGCTGTGCTGCATAGGTTGTCTCAAACTCCTGGGCTCAAGCAGTTCTCCAGCCTCAGCCTTCCAGAGTACTGGAATTACAGTTATGAGTCATTGCTTTCGACAAAATATTAAATTCTAAAAACATAAACATCTGCATTATTATAATACAGATTCTTATCTATTTAAGAAAAATACCATAAAGGAGATCTTTAAACACACTTGGCTTTGCTTGACAAATGAGGAAAAAATTAACTACGGAAAGTTGAAACTGAAATATTATTTGACCTTAAAGAAGAAATCATTGATCTTAAAAAAAAAAAAAAATAGAGCGGGGGGGGGCGACCTGAAGATGGCGACGCCATAGGTGGATCCATGAGATTCTCCAAACGTGAGTTCCCAAAAAGACTATTACTTTTCTTCCTGCATCTCCCTGCCCACCTCCAGCTGCACTGGTACGAGGCTTGGGGACTTTTGGTCCCACGCAGGGCCAGACATTGCGACCAAACCGTGGCTGCTCCACTATATGTGATTCCGGCCAACTGGGGAATCCCAAATCCCGGATCCCAGCTCTATCCCTGGCTTCATCGTCACGACCAGCACCCAGCGCCAAACTGCCGGTCACGCAGGGAGGCTCTGAGTGCCTGCCCCTCAGAGATACCGGTCCC